TAACCGTTGAATGCGTTGCCAGTTGACACTCGTTTTTAAGTATTCCTTCACTTCCTCTAAAATGAAAGAAGTTAACTCAAGAATTATTGCATAGTCGAAGAGCAGTCTGTTGTCAGCTCTCAAACGAGCATATTACTATTTAAAATAAATAAGTGTCTATTAAATTACATTGCAGATGTTGAACTATGATCCCATTACTTCCGCTAAGCCGTAACAATATTACAACGTAAAAGGTTTTACACGGGATACTGTCGTGGAAACGTATTAACGCATACCAGATAAAGAGCGACACAAGCAAACGGAAAACCACCTTGCGAAATATCACGTAAGAGAAGCGCAGCTAATAGTATAATTACCGACAAAATTATTCTTAAAGATTTATATCACCCGAATCTTATATACAAAAATAGTGCATCCAATCATTGTATAATCAGTGTTAAACATTTATTTCAATAATAAGTGGTTACAACACAAGTCACGTTCTAATATAACGGTAAAGATAAGTAAATATTCAAGAAGAACGAATTATAAAATCGGGAGATTATCCTTTTCGGTTGCTGTGCACAGCAACAGGCGTACAAGTGAATTAGACATAAATGTATTGCATTTGTAATTGGCTTTGAAAGCTCGATGCTACCTTGCATCTCGTATAATCGTGTTAGCACGCCCTCATGGTTATGTGCGTGCATTTACGAGCTAATACTTGTAAGTATGAAAAACAAACTAATAAATCAGCGAGTTGGCAATTATCGCACGATACGATCTTTCAGCTAGTCGGCTACGAAAAACGCAACGGTGCACGCAGAGTGTGAGCGATGAATAAAAAAGAAGGAAAGCAGAAAATTATTGAGAGAGACGCGCGTCTAATCCCGACGCGCGCCGACTAGTTTAATGGGCTTTAGTATTACAGGTAGTTTGTTCTTGTGTATGCATCCGCGGTAGGTCTCGCGTGTCTTCGAAACTCGAGAGAGACTCTGCTGTAATTGTAAAATCGATTGCTACCACGATAGTATCCCGTTATTACCTGCCTCAGGGGTTCTTTGTTTGTTTTTCCTTTACTTGGTGGACAGCCAAGTTTTACGGTTCCGAAGCACTTTTACAATGTTTACGGCCTACACCCAACTTCACCTTGTGTGCACTGTGTGCTCTAGTGCGGGTACGCGCCTTGGAAAAAAGTTTCACACAGAGTTTTTCTTTCAAATTTATGTTGCACGGCAAGGTTATTTGTACGAGCTCCCGTGGGATTAATTTTTTGTGTTTTCTTTGTTTTTTTTACAATTCATTAGAGATAAAAACTTTATACCTTGAAATCTTTACATGCTTTTAAGTTCAAACTTGTTATGTTACTCAGACATAATATTAAGTATCATTATTGGTGAATCCCTATTTTATAAGAGATTTAACGATTATTGGTTGGTTAATTACATAGAACTCTGTATTTAACTAATTCGTTAGTAAACATTTCTACGTTTTTACTAAAATTCTGTATTCTTTTAAACAAATAAAATTGGAAATTCTTAATAACTTGATACGTAACTGGCTGACTGTGGATAAAATAATGAAGCTACTAAAGTTGAATTCCATTTCAAATAATCGCACAATAAAAACATTTGAAATAATGAATTTTTCGATTCTTCGCAATCTTCTGTTCATGAAATAACTTATATTAACGTATTTACGTAAACAATGTCAAATTTTACGTTTTTAATTAAAAGAAATAAATTTTAGGAACAGTTTTAAGACCAACGCGTGCATATCCTTTAGCTTGCAAAGTCTAAAATACATCATCTAACCCAATTTTGGGAACTCCTTGAAATTATACAAAGTCAGCGATAGTGTTATCCAGCGAAACCGGTATTAAGTAATAACGAAAATTTAATAACCTTTCCTGCTCTTGTCGTTTCACTTTGCCCCAAATAATATTAATTAATTAATTTGAAACTACAATCATGTATAATGAAAGTCATCCGGATTACTTTCATAACAAAATATTAACTTGAAACGAGTATCATAAAAGTTTGTAAGATAACCAAAAATTAACTAACGAATGCACAAATGACGCAACTTTCAAAATGAACAGTCGACGTCTGTTAATTGCTCATCGTAAAGTGATCATCATGACGAGATTCACAAGGTAAATTCGCCCCTCGGTAGCACATCAGTAAAGAGCATGACAAAGGCTACTATAATGTAGGTATTGCAGAGTGTAGTATTGGCAAACCGTTGACAATCGCGTAGCCGCAAGCTTGCAGCGAAAAAATGATGTATCTTTGGCTACAGAACCTGCGACGATCAACAGTTTGTGGTTTATAGTTTGGCCCAAAGGTCATTTAACGATATTAGTCCTGAAGTCTAGCTTCAAATCTATGTTTTGCAGAAAAAAACGTAGCCACTGTTGAAAGTTTTAATTGTTGAACAATTTAGTCCCAACGTGATTTTATCGTTAAATTTACAAACCGCCTTGTAATATCCTAATCTTATCTACCTAGAAGACTAACATTTGAACACCGTGTCCTTTTAATAATAAAACAGAAAATAACGAGGTAAGCTTCGATTCGAGAAAAGCATAAGTCTTCTCGTGAATGTTACGTTTAATTATTCGTTTCATGTTCACCTCGCAACGGCTAATTTATAAACCTCGGTGCTATGTAAGCTTCAACTTGGAGCTATTTGGTAAATAAAATTTCGTCAGCAGACTTAATCAAGATGTCGTTTATTTCTGACGAGGGCAACAAAAACAAATATCAAAAAAACAACCTTAAAAGGAAGTCCACGTGATCCTACATTTTCTTTTCTCTGATGTTATTTAGAACCCCGACGAGGAAGGACACACGAGTATATTATTATGCGGTGTCACGGTACGAGGACATTTACGAAATAAATCGAGATTTTTGACTGAAGTCAGCCATGTGAGATTACCTCGTTTAAAGAAAGTGAGAAGGAGAGAGAGGGAGAGAGGTGTTCCCTTTCTCTTTTTTAGCAGATACGCCGAAGGTAATTATTAATTACAATCGCGTGTGCAGTTAAAACGATAACAGTTTTAACGAGAAAAAGATTTGTCGAGGAAGGTAAATGTAAAACATAGCGGTGGCAAAGGTAGAGAAATGGAAGAAAATCAGTATGCGCTTGATCTAGAGGAAGATTGATCGCTTTTCTTCACTCTAATCTTTGCCCGTGAACGAAAAACAGAGATAGAGAGCATCAGCTCTAGGTTGAGCATGTTATTTTCAGCGACAGCAATCACACATTTAATGAAGCCTTCGTGACAATGATTTTTTTCTTCTTTTATTCAGTTTATTCGCGCCAGATATATCCGTAAATAAATGCCAACGTGCACGATCAATAAATCCTTTGCATAATCGAATGAGTGACATCTGATTCGATTTCCGGTTAAGCGCGTCAAGTTATTTTTGGAAAGCAGCTCATGTACGGTATTCACTAAAGCATATGAATATCGATATTTTCTTTTCCCTCCATTTTTATGCATCGACCACGTGCAATTTTTCTGTCACATTTCTGCCCTGCACAGATTTGTTTTTCCAAAGAGGTTAAAATAAAGCCATCCTAATCCCCGAGAATTCACTTATGTCGAGGAAAAAATTTCGACGATACAAAGCAATAAGAGCTTTCTTTTCTCAACGTTCGCTTTGATGACGATATTAAAAACGCTTGAAAATAGAAAATTTTGATCTCGCAATCGCTCATCGTAAATTAGGAAATTTTTTCACTGTCAATATGTTTGCACGGTAATTTGCTATGGGCTTTTATTTTGAAGTTAGTTTGGTTTGTCGTTAATTTTGTGTGCGCGCTAAAGGAATTTTACAATTGACCAAAAAAAATACGTGTGCTAAAAATGACATCATTGCAGTCACCCTTTATATCAAGTAAATTTAAAACCTTAATTTGCGAAATGTTAGGCAAGAAAAATATTTTTCCAACATTAAGTAGAGCTTACCAAACAAAGCTAGCTTTACTTGAAATCGCGCACAAAGAGCCGTAGCGCAGCGTCGTCAGGCTTGACGACGGCTCATTTTTCTCAACTCACTTCCCATCTCATTCTCATGAAGCGTCGTCTGCACCGTACGGTAAATCTAACAATTCTGCAAAAGAAAATTTAAGAAAAAACGACAAGCATCAAAAGTTGGGATCAAAATCGACGGGCGTGTTTCTACGTCTGCATATGACTATGCACGAACTGATGGAGCGAGTATATTTAAGACTACAAAAAATTGTTTCATATGTAATATTCTGTTTCCGCGCTTCAGCACACAATTTATTTATTATTTTATTATTCTTCCTCATTCGCTCCGAGCTTCTGAATTTCAACAGGATGCATGTGTGTGCGAGGACGAGTTTCTCTCACCCGACAATTACTTTACTTTCCTCTCTCTTTCTCTCTCTTTCTCTCTTTGCAAGGTACTTTTTTTTATTTGCCGTGGCAACTAATTAAATTGCTTTGCCATGTAGATGAGAGATTTATGTCGCTTACGGATTACTGAGTTTGTACATGTGTTTTTATTTTAGCTTTGCAACGATCTGGAATGAGCTATCGAGTTACGATTGTTTATCTAACGGCTATTGATTATCAATTACTTGTACTATATCAATACTGCGTTTAATATAACTTATATGAATTATACGGAAAAAAATAATAGAGCAAATGATACTTCAACAAATGTAATTCAAAACATTTGTAAAAGGTTTTATTCAGAAGTAATAAAATCGAACTAATGTTTTTAATCAATATTTAATTTTCACGTAAAGGATCAAGCTGTAGTTTATTTTTTGTGAAAAATGTCCGACGTAATAAAATATCGCATCGATATGACCAAAACTGACCAATATTATAGCACTTTAAATGTTTTTCTATCAATTGTCCAATAAAAACTATTTAAATTTTATAAAAAATGAAATCGAACAGCTCTGACAATTAAAAAATACTTGTAATATGAAAATTAATATTTTTCATGATTAAAAGAAAGCCGATATTTCTATTGCAGATACATAGAGATACTGCATAAGCGCAGTTCAAGGATCATCAGAACGCGGTACGAACAGTTAGCACGGAAGTTGACCGCGTGATCGTGAAACGTCTGGTGGGCCTGTGCGGTCAGGGCACCGCCGCCAATACCAGCATGGCGGACAAAACGGCCACCAACACGCCACCACTATCGCCCACCATCACTGCTGCAACCAGCGCCAGCACCACTACTACCAATACCATGATTTCTCGAAAGTAAGCTCGCGCAATGATTTTCTTCCTTTTTTTTTCTCTGTTCATTAGAATTGTTTGTACTTGCTAATTCACTGTCATGCATTAGTTATTGGATACGAAATTGAAATTATAGCTCATCTTGAATTAAACGTTACTTACAAGATTGGTTTTTAAATTCTGACTGGATCTTGTATTGATCAATTAGTAAACTAATCATTCTGGAGTTAATGTTAGATAGGGGTTTTCCCGCGAAACGTGATTTTAACTATACCTATCTTAAACCAATAGGTCCAGTGGCAAACGTCTCTCCAGAAAAACTACACAACGGTCAACCGAACTGGACAGGTCAGTCATCCAATAAAATATACTACATCTATTTGCTTGCTTTCGTCACGTATAAAATAGAAATATTGATATCATCATTTGATTGAAAAATCAAAACAGTCAAACTCATTCTTTTGGTAAAAAGCTCTTTTCATCCGTGATAGATAAATGAATTTTTATAGATATATGAGTTTGGAGCCTATCGTCTGTTGCTCAAGTATCAGAAGTAATGATCTCGCGAATCTATACGAACTAGGATATAGTTTTAGCTAGCAGTGATGGGACAAAAGAGTTTTCTAATTAAGATTGAAGACACTCTAGGGAAATAATTCGCGCTGACTGGGTTACGTATAAATTCGAGAGTAGTCATGAGTGTAAATCTTTTTTCTTGTATTATTTAGCCTCTAAATATAACCACGTTGATTTACCGTAAATAGTAAATTGAATCTATAGTCGTACGGTCATTCATTCGTACGGCATACGGATTCATTTATATAATAAATCTAATAAGGATGAAAGGATTCGTCCCTTGCCTCTTAATGCCTTTGGGGATAAAGTTAGTGACATTAAATAACACATAGATTGAATTAACATGTACTTGACTATGGATGGAACTAAAAATAGATTCCGAAGTAAATCAAACGAAAGTTTCTAAATGATTCTGTTGATGTCAGATGGGTAATATGATAATCCGCGCTAATACCTGTCCAGCATTGAATCAGAAAAGCGCGCATCCCGTTGTATAGTTTCATTAATACAAGCATAAGGAGTAAAAGGAATAATGAAAAAAATCAATGAGTCAAAGATTCTTGCAATAGACTCATGCCATTCACTTTGCCGCCAATCTCTTTCAATGCACTGAATTATTCACGCCTTATTCCCAAAACGAAGAAGACGACAAAGAACAAAGTTGAAATTCCAACCCTGACACCAGCTTCACCTTCGCAAACATATTAGTATTCGGCGAAAGCCGCTCAGTCACAGTCGTTAAACTCGACGGGATCTAGTACGTACGACATAAACGTCGCTCTCAGATGGAATATCCCTCCCATGCACATTTATCATGATGATTTTACGACAATCTCTCTCGACGGTAACCCTATCGAAAACCAATCATCTCCGCGTTGATTTGATCCTCCTCCGCATTCTCACCTGGCTATAAATCGAAAGAGACGTGTGTTCGTGTGTGTGCGCTTGCCTAAGTGATATACGCTGAGAGCGAAAAAAAGAGCAGATGACGATTTACGAGGTGGCTAATTGATCGATGAGCGACCCTGACTACATACCTCTTCAATCTCAGGAGCAGAGGAATGGATCGATGTCGCTTCGCGCATTATCGAGGATAACAATTAGCGTATGTGTTTGCTGCTGCCTCAGTCGACCAAACAGCAGCCTCGACCTAATGGCCTTTGCTACAGAGACTTGGTAAACACGTACGCGCGTTAGGGAGAGACAGTCGTGATGTTTATTCTCTCCTTAATTTATCTCTTTTTTTCTGGATAAATACTGAGTGTTGTAATGATAGTGCGGTCACGAAAAAATCATAATAAATCCATTCTCTCCAAGTAGCAGATTTGTAGCTGGTAAATTGAGTAGTGGAAATAGAAAAATGTAATGTGCAAACGCATGAAAATAAATTTCATATTCGTGTGTTTCAAATCGAATATACTATCGAAAATAAATCTTAGAAAATTCAGAAGCCAAACATCGAGTACCATGATTCTGTAAAGAATGCGCCTTAATAGATTTACAACAGCTACAAATCTTTTCTCTTACACATAAAAAGAACACTGAGGGCACGAAAACTTCGTTGTTCTCGAACTTTCAAATCCCAGTATATCCATTCTCGAGCACACTTTCTTGTAGTCAAATAAGCCACCGTGAAAAATTTACGTAGATATATCGCTGTGATTTGCTGCAGGTCGCCTACATAAACTGCAGTAGATCACAACACGGCAAACATTTCGTATTTTTCCCGCACGCTCAAGATCTTCATTGCGCCGAGAGTGCAATTATACTTTTAGGTGAGCAGTTTGCCCGAATTGCCACTCGCGCGTTTCAGTTTGCCATATTATCACGTATCTCCCGTGGTCTGTTTACGAAAGATACGATATAGCTAGGCTTATATTGCTTTTTTTCGCCCTAAAGATACTCGCCCGAGAAGGCGAAGTTTGAAGTTTAATAAATTTTTACGAGACTTTCTCGCACCAACCAATTCTTCATTTTTTACTTCTAATAGCAATAACTTACGACGCGGGGCCGGTAATAACGATAACTTGGGTACAACCTATTAATTGCGACGGCGTGGCGTGTATCAAGGACGAAAACGAAACGAGGTATGCGTATATATAGGAGGTTTATCAGTCAATTCGCCTATACGAAATGTCATCCATTACGAAGATAATAGTCTCGGCAATAAACTCGCTTTTGACGACTTTGACGGGGGACCCCTCCCCCCTCCTCCCGTCTCCGATTCCTTTTCGGCTCTTGCCTACATCGTGTTAAGAGTGACGAGGAAGCTGAAAATGAAAATGTTTGCAGTACGTATAAACCATGTACCCAAACAGTTACTGCTTTATTTGTTGCCTTATATACTCTGTTAAAGGTAGCGATCAGTCAAGTCGTAGATTTTCGCTATATGTTCGTTGAGAAAATTTAGGCTTTCGTGCGCTGAAGGCAGCGCTACGCACAAGGGGATTTTCTCCTCCCTATCAAAACGCAAACAGAAATATTAAAAATTGAAGCACGTTGCTTGGGTTGAGTTTGGGATGCTTTGACACAATGTATATAAACCTACACATTTCAGTATTTCTTATTTAAAAAAAAAAAATAGTCGGAAATTGGTCCTCTGTGCACGCGCATAGCTCTGTTTTGTTTGAAATAACGAAAACGAATGTCGAGAAAAGTAAAAGAGAAATAGAACTGTAATACTGAGTAACGAAAAAGTCCAACGCGAAATTCATTAAGACACGCAATCACATTTTTTTCTAACAGATTAAACGTCAGTATCTTACGTAGCTGTAACCCTCAAGAAATATATAATATGCTTGTAATCGAAGTTTAGGAGTAGTAGGCCGCCAGAAGCGGAAGAAGGTGCGTGCAGCCAAGGTGTGAGGGCCTACGAGAGGGGGAATGATCAATATTCCAAGCTGCCGTAAGTAGTAAAATCCAACGTCAAGACAAGCTTTCCTTACATTGTTAATGGGTTAATCCGATTACTCGTCACGTAACAATGTTACTCTCTACTTTGCAATATCATGACTGTTGAATTATTCAATTTCAAATTACAAGCGCGAATGCAAAACTGTTGCGCGTATACGACAGTCATAAAGATCAACACGAGCTTGACGTATCATAAAAATCCGACAGTCGTCAAGCTACACACACACATACGCGCGCGCAAATAGATAGCGCGGGCGTGAAGCATCGATCAAAGCTGCATGGAAAAATATAAAAGTGCGCAACGATCCGCGTGAAGGAGATAAGTTTTGCGCGCGATCATGAAATGCAAAGAGAGGCTCTGCGCGCAATAGAGAGCAACCTCTCGCACACGTGGGCTATAAAGTGCAAGTGGCGTACAATCGATTTTCTCTTTTTCGCGGTCGGTTGCATTTGTACAACCATCAAAATTGTGCGGTGTGTAGGTATATATATCGTCGAGTGAGAATATTCATGTGCGGCTATTATCTTGTGCGCGCATAACCAAATGACTCTCCAGCACGAATGAGAAATTTTCGGACACCGTCCAAAATTAACTGGGTATAAGTACTCGAGGAGACTCTGTTTTCCTTCGAGAGATGATAGAATCATCAATGCAAAGTTGTTGACTCGTTCTCTACACGGACGGCACGATCGTAAAAAATGTTAGGTAGTAAAGTAGAGCTTTATAACATCACGTATTCAATAGCACGCACATTTTCATTCGACCGTTCAATATTATTTTTTTAACCTCGACGGGGTCGGAGCTTGAACAAGTCAAGCTGAATCTAAATTTTTTATAGCCTTATCGGTTTTAACTACCTCTATTTACAAGTGAAACTACTCACGATGGGTAAATCGCTATGTATGTTCTCTGCCAATTCACTTGGAACAGACATGCAAAAGCTTTCGTTAGTAAAGCCTACAGATTTAACAATAAAAGACACTGTTGGTTGGTAGCTTTTTGTAAGAAATCCTAAAGATCGAAAGCATGTTGATTCAAAAATAAAATAATCCAATTTGCACGAAAAAGCGTTGACATCTTCGCTAATACCGATAGCTCACAAACTATTATAAACTTTGTGTGCTGCGATTTATTCAATTTTGCATCAACAAAATACCATGAGAATTTCAATCCAGCGATAATTGCTTTTTCTACAAATGAATTATCACATGAAAAAATTCAAGTTTTCAAGCTCGTAAAGATGCGTATATAGTTGAAGGTTCTCTGCATCGCATACAAAAATCATTTAAAAAAAATACAGATGTGCGCGCGGCAACGAGATTAGTAAGGTTGTAAAACTGTGGGCCAAGCTTATGCATGGCTCAATTACGTTGCAGTGCTGGCAGACAACCCTCTCATTTTTCTAACTCAGCCTGAAAAGTGGGTTAAGGGCGAACGTAGCGGCTTACTCTCTACTACATGCTTAAATTGTCAACGATATTGAAGCTACTGCTGAATTGTTATTAATTCTACGTTTTAACACTCTTCTTTTTTCTTTCTTGTTTGAAAAGTTGAACTTTTTGGGATGTTTCAGCGCATCGAGGTCAAACTTGATGGAATCAATTTGCAAAATCTAATAACGTCGCTGCAGATACAGCTTTTGCAAGAAGTTGGAACTTACTTTTTTATTGTTCAGTAATTGAGGGTCATGAAACACTCACGTTACAGACAGTTAGTTTTGATGGCTTGAAGAAAATTTTAACGTAAACATTTTTTGCATAATATGAACCATTGATTATTTTTACGCTAGAAAAAAAAACGATTAAGTTTGAAAAGAATTTGTTAAGTGCACCATCATTTCAAAAGTTTGATGATCATAAACCATCATCTCAGAAAAATAGCTCTGCAATTAAATTACATATTATTCAAGAATATATACGTAAATCCTGAAACTAAATTCCACGAAAAATTGACAATTAGTATCGGAAAAGCTTAGAAAAGGGTGTAGAATTCACATCTGATAATTTGTATTCAGTTCGCGGGGTGGCGTACAATAGTTGTTAAAGCAGTATAGTGGTGGCGCGTGTGCCTTTGCTTTTAAATTTGATATCGGCGCAGGTATACACAGAACCCCTCCTCCTCCTGCGCATGTCAGTTTCAAGGTTTACAAGCGAGAAAGAGGATGCGCTACTAGTGGACTTGCTCGTAAACTTGAATTTTTTTTACGCAATATTTAATTTGCAGAAAAAGCAATTACCACTATTACTACTGCTACAACTTATTGTTAGTTGTAAAGTTGATATCCTTTAGATGTCAGGATTTTGAACCTATTAACGTTGAACTCAGCAGCAGCTTCTTTGTATTAGCTTGCTTTCTTGTTTGACTCTCATTATCATCGAGCTAATATCGACAGCGGGGTTAATATCATGTCAACTAAACAGCTTGTTTCAACAAACTCTCTTCCTCTCTCTCTCCCTCTCTCTCTCTCTCTCTCTCTCTCTCTCTCTCTCTCTCTCTCTCTCTCTCTCTCTCTCTCTCTCTCTCTCTCTCTCTCTCTCTCTCTCTCTCTCTCTCTCTCTAGCTCTTTATCGTTATAACTCGTTATAACAATAAGTCAAAGTCTTACTATACAACCAAAAGCTCCAGAGTTAATTAGTCAACTTAGTTTATTTGATGTTACGACGAACGAGAGTGAAAGAGAGAAAGAGAGTGAGAAAGAGAGAAATAGAGTGGGAGAGAGAAAGAGAATGAGAGAAAAAGAGAGAGAGAGAGAGAGAGAGAGAGAGAGAGAGAAGAGAGAGAGAGAGAGATGAGGAAAATCTTTTCCCCCTTCCTCTTTGGACGGAAATTGAAACGGTGTCACCTATAGGAAATTCAGGGATGAATGGTTCAGAGGTATTTTCCGAAAATCTAGCTCACCCGTTTAGTTTGTTTCTTCACCAGGCAATGCTTTGCAAGTGGATTTATCAGAGAGATAGAGAATGATTTTCATGCGCAATCAATTTTACGAGACTATATGGATAGGAGTGCTTAATATTCGATTGCTCACGTAGATTAAAAAAGCACTTCAAATGTATGATATTTGATATTATCGCAAGTGTAGTGAGACGAGAGTAAAAGTTTGCTCTAACTCGATTACTGCGTAGTGATACGAGAATATGTTGGGTTTCGATATATTTTATGTTTCTTTTAAAGCTCTCTCAATTCATATGCGGTCTTTTCTATGTAAATTATTCATTTATACGTCAGATATAGATAACAGAGGAGAACGGAAGTTTATGGAAAAATTCAAATTTGAATGGTTTTTCCATACATTGTAAAGAGAATAGGTTTTATAGAAGTCGCCTTGCAAATAAAGTGGTATAACAATAAGATATATCGACTGATGTTAGATTAACGACATATTCGTATGTATATGCGAGGCAGAATCCACGAAATTGTCATCTCATCGAATCGTTCAATTTCGATCTATCGCTCCATACATTAAGTGTAGTTGCATAGGACAGTTAGATATCGCTTTTCATCTGCGAACTAAAACCCAGGGGAAAGACTTTTTCGCAATTGCCAAATCTGATAAATGCCAATGTAGCTATCGCTGTTGAGAATGACGCACGAACCAGAGAGGAAAAAAAGCCGTGACGACCGGAATGTGAGTAGTTAATGGTAGGTTGTCAGAATTATTGATTTATGAGTTAAAAGTTGTGGAGTGGCAAGATTTAGGAAATCAGCAAGCTCTTGAATTTATGAAAAAAGAGCGATAAAAAGGGGTCGAATAAGCGTCAGATAAAAAAGTCGAAGTGAAGCGACCCTCCAAGTGCTATACAGTGGTGGCTTATCGCATATATACACTTTAATACAGTCCAGCACACATCTGACGTCGGCCAATTCCGAAACTCTTTCAAGGCCTCTTTCCCACCGGATATTTATAGTATATCCAAGTCGTTAATAGCTCCATCTGCAGCAGCCTAGTCATCACTCATTTTTCATAAAGTTACGTGATGCACACGCCCCATCAACGTCAATATTCGCATAGTCCACAATAACGGCTTGCAAACGACGCCATATCTGAACGCCTATACACATTGCCATGCGATGTATGCGTGCGGAAGCTTATTAGGGAGAAATAAAGAGAGAGAGAGAGAGAGAGAGAGAGAGAGAGAGAGAGAGAGAGAGAGAGAGAGAGAGAGAGAGAGAGAGAGAGAGAGAGAGAGAGAGAAAGCACCACGATATTATTCAAGAGATAAAGACGCTATTATACTTGTGAATTATGATCGGCCAGAATATAAATACTTTGAAAACCAAGTGCTGTGCTCGCGAGAAATTAGAGCGTGCTTGGCAAATTACGTTTGCCTTAATTGCCTACGGACCGAAAATTCATGAAATATATTATAGTTTTCTTACGTTACGAAAAAATTTTAAAAGCTCGCTTATATTGCTACCTTGTTTTGCGGCTAGAATTGATTCCACTCGGTTCGTAACCTCTGCAGTTGAAAATTGATTACTCTATTAAGGTACCGAGAGATTTTGTAAATGAACTGCTTTATATTTTAAAGAGATTCCCACAACACAACTGCGTGATAAATCTCGTAAAAAAACTTTGTTTGGGTAACAATTCAATCGCGTTGCGATTGGCTTATCGTGTTCGTGAAAACGGAGAAAAAGGCACAACGCCCGTGCAAGTTTGAAGCTGGTTAAGTAGAATAAACCGAGTACGGTAAGACACAGTCACGTACAGCCATAACTTTTATTTTGCTAAGACGCGAAATCCTAGCGCCAACTGTCGACATCCTTTTCAAATTGGAACAGTGGCGACCGAGACAATATACGAGCGTGACAAATATACAAGAGAAAGATTTTGTTCGACGCATTATTTTCATTTGAAACATTTTTTTCTTTTCGAGTCAGATCCAATTATTGAAGCGTGTATATCGGCACTGGGATGAAAATTTAATTAAAGCGACACGCGAGTATGTGCGGTGCTTTGCTATACGAGAATATTTCGATTTGATAGTGGCTAAGCTTGAACAAACGAATATTCATATCGATTCGACGAAATTGCTGCTACTAAGGATAGAACACACAATCGGTGACTTTACTTTGATTAAGTTCGTATTATAAATGCACGCACGTGCTCCAAGTATAATAATATGAATTTAAAATTTGTTCGCGTTACTGAAATTCGTAAATGGTTTCGATAGTAACACGCGCAAACGGTAGCAATCGTTAACGAACGAAGTGAGAGAGGAATGAAAATTGGAAGCCGAAGCAGCAGATGCCGACACGCTCGCCGGTGAAACGAAATCAAAATTTTCGTTGCGCAGTGCTCAAATCGAAACTTCGTCCCGGCGTTTTAATAGCTGTTGCTGAAAATGCCAGCGAACAGCATGATAACAACCGTCGCATGGTCGACGCGATCGCATTGTAGAGCACAACGAGAGCGCGCGGCTCCCATAGAACCAGCACTTAAAAGAACGGCAGCGCCGACAAACGCGTTTAACTGAAGGTTGCGTCCCGAGGAGTAGGCTAAGTCTTATGGGAATACGTATTCGATTTCCAGGCCAACCCGCCCACCGCCGTAGTATTGACCTCGCTCGGTGCGAAGGAGAACGAACGAACGAACAAACGGACGAGCCTTGGCCCCCTGCTGCTGTTGCTATAAGGTCTGCGTACGTATGCCGAAATCAAATCCAGCTGCGTTTGCTTGTTCCGCTCGTGAGCTGCGCACTCAGTCTAGCGATTGATAAATTGTATCGCAGCTTGATGACGTGGGACTCAACGAGCAAATAAATATATCCAGACAAAAAACAATCTTCGTTAATTTCACGCGCGAAAGAGCGCGAGATGAGATTGCAACGAGAATACCCATTGGTCAGACGAACAGCGAACCGAACGTGCATTTTACAGAACGTAGGAAAGAAGCTGATCAAGTTGAATGTAGTGGATTGATATAAAACACGTCAAATGGCCCGTAGCTCGGTCAGAGCGAAATATAACAATGATGTAGGACCACCGGCGTCGCCGATCGCTCTATGCGTATGCTCGATATTTTAGATATTAAATTTTGCCGACTTCGTTGCTAAAGGAGAATGATTCGATGCTCTCAACAATGATTTCTTCGTAGGAAATATTTTGGCTAAAATTTCGGTAAAACTTTTAGTTCTGACTTAAAAACTTTTATTTATCTGAGTGCCGAGAAGCGAAAGAATACGTAGTAAAAAGTTATGTCCAATTTAAGTAGTCCAGAATAAAAAAGATGCCTTGAAAAGAACTTTTTATTGTGAAATAACCGTCTTTGTGTATTCCATGATTAAATAAAAAATGCGTACAGTTGTATTTCTCGTGTGGTTTGAAAGAAAATGTTGTGTTTGTATACACGTTGCATTGCAATCAAATATCATGAATTTTTGTTACAGGAGATTTGGAAGGAATAGACCGAGCGAGCCAGAGACGGGTTTCATCTACACTCAAAGGTATATCTTGAGCTATTTGCTACAATTATATTCAATTTTTATATTCAAGCGAGATAAATTAAAGAAAACTCGGTAGTCTGCTGTCGGCGAAAGAATCCAACAAAAAGATAGGGAAAAAGCTTTCTTTTTTTTACTGCGCTCGTAACTTTGCACGGCGACACTTCGTACTCGATTAGCCACCTCAAAGCATAAGCTCTCAAATAATCTACAACCATTATTTCTCTACGGCTCTGAAAGTATCTGGAACAAAGGCTCTTCCTCAGGCTAAGCAATGCCACAGCACTTTTCGCGCATTGTTATTTTCAGCGGAAAATAAATAGAAAATGAAAGCAAATTATCCGACTATTTTTTTCCTAACTGAATAAATCGAATGGATTTAGTTTATTAATAGCTTATCGAGCGGAAGTGCATTAGGGAGTTGATTAAATTTAGTATTCCGGGGTCGCTGTTATGCCAACGTTATATTACTACAATAGTACGTGTCGATCTCGTCGTGCGAGACTCGGCTTAATTACTTTCATCGTTCTCGCGTTGAAGAATTTAATGACTTAAATTCAACTAGTGGCCGCGGTATAATTTGATTTGCAGTGAAGCGTTAAGTGCGACATGAAATTTTCATTGAAACGAATCTTTACGCTTTACCGTTAATACTACTTGCAAAATTATTAATATACTTTTGAAAGCATTGTAACTTGTTTCATTTTTCATGAAACTCAATTCGCTTTTATAGATTATATTAATTAAATCACGCTGCAAACTCATGCCATAAATCGTATAACGATAAATACATTTTTTTTGTATCATGTATAATGGACAAAACGACAATTTAGAAATTGAACTTCTATTATTAGATTATATAAAATATTCCAACACATTTTTGAATCAAGTCATATAAATCATTCTTGTATGATGTTTGTATGTCTGTCAGGATATTCAAGAAAACATCGGAAAATAAAAAACTAACATTGTACCTGGCAAGCCGCGACCCTCGTCGCCAGTGGTGGAAAAATCGACAACTTGCGTGGCGTGTTACTGATCGAACCCGACTTCCTTCAAGAAAAGCAGAAGGTAGATATTCGCCTCGTTTCTTTTCTCCCCCCCCCCCCCCCCCTCTCCCAGTTGTTTTTCTTTTTAAAACCGCAGATACTGATCCGTGTTTTTTTTTCTCACTTCACTTCGCTCGAAGGTTTTCGGCAGAGTGACGCTGACTTTTCGCTACGGCCGCGAGGACGAAGAAGTAATGGGATTGAAATTTTTCAACGAGGCTACAATGGCTCTTACTCAACTTTATCCGCCGTATCATCCAGATCGCCAAGAGCCAGTTACGCACTTTCAGGTTTGTATTGCATTTGATCGTCGTCAATAGATTTACGCATTCAATGGCTCATCGTTCCTAAGCCGATCGGTCGTTAATTCTTTTAACAGCCGCAGTACAGCCTCGAGCTTTCGTATGCATAAAAGAGCCTTTGAACACGGCAATCGATTCAACACGTCATTCGTCATTGTCACTTTGCGCACTGAAAAAAGTAGAATATTCTAGAAAACTAGAACGCACAATGACTGTATTGTACTAATTACCGAGCTTTCATTTTGTTAATTTAACTCACTATTCATTAGTCTTTTCGTGAAAGAGAGACAGCCAGGAATACGAACGCGTGACTATCGAAACTACGTAGTATGTGACTACATTAAATACGCAGATACGCGCACGTGCTATTGCATCTGACGAAGCATTCGCGGGGAGTTTGCCCAATTTCACATTGGCTAATAAATCTTTTCAAATTTTTCGCGGTTTATTTGAACAAACAAACCTTTAATTCGCACTTTGCCCTTTGCCCATGCGTATATGCAAACATGTTTAATTGACATACTTTTCGCTAGAAAGTGAAACAATCTTTTTTATGCACGCGTGCTTTATAAAAATCAAGCACAAGCTTTTTGTAACTCCGACCTTTTAATTATATACCGACACGTGTGTGATGCGTGTGTGTATGTGTATGTGTGTACGTCAAAGTTTTCAGATTAAAAGAAAAGGGAAAACTCCGTCATCCGAAGTAAAGTAATCTTCTAAAAGTTGACAGTTTTAATTTTACGCTACAAAAAATCCAACATCAGTTTTTGAATGCGACCTTCAGGACTAGGAAAAAAGCAACTTTCGATTGAGCCGACGAATCCCCCTCACTCTCACTCACTCTCTCTCTCTCTCTCTCTCTCTCTCTCTCTCTCTCAATACGGAAAAACTAATCTCTCAGGGGTGTCACTAAAATCTGAAATTCATCTGTCGAAAGATATGTAACGCGATTCTCAATGCTATTATTCATGACTGTCGATCGCATATTTCCTTTTTGTTTTTCTTTTTTTCTAAAGCGATTTTTCGCGCGTATAAAATAATTCTACAAATACGAGATAGAACGTGATCCGCATTTGCATTGACATGCTTTTTTACTTCTCTCGTGCTGATGAGAGAGAGAGAGAGAGAGAGAGAGAGAGAGAGAGAGAGAGAGAGAGAGAGAGAGAGAGAAATATAGCACGTAGTGCTTAGCCATTCACGAAAAATTCCCAGCGCTACCGTTCGGTCAGAGCCCACGTGCAGTAGTAAAAGAGTATATCCGATCAGACGGGTTTTAGAAAAGACTTCAGGTTCGCGATACTATTTGTTATCCTGACTTATTGAAACCCACGCGTATGAAAAATGTCATTTGACATTGTATGTCCTTGCTCAGCCCCTAAAAAATAGTTACTGCGCTTAACAATAAAAAAAGACGATGTTATTTTCTTCTTTTTTGTCGACAGAAAAATCCAAAGTAAGATGCTTTCTTTTATTTATTGGTATGATCTAATATGATATCATTTTACTGCATTATTTGCATAATAATGATGTAAATACCAAGAATCTTTCATATTTTTCATGCAAATGAAAAGAAAACTCAAGTGTCTTATTCGTATAACACTCGGATCGTATAAATTTTCTTTCATGACATCTATCAGTATGATGTTTCCTCACACATTGAAAAACGAAGATAGCCTACTGTCATCGGACATATAAATAACCTGAGTACAAAGAATCCTTTCTGAAGTACTACTTCTAGAAGCCACCGTATAAGAACCTTAAATCCACAGCCGAGGTCACTCGCTCGATTCGCATTAACAATAAAAGATTATTGGTAAGCTTTGTTCGCTTGTGACAGTTTATTGGCTAAACAGCGCTTAGTAAAGCTTCGAGTAAAATATCAATACGTTAATCCCTGTTATCACAAGTGCGCGTCCTTTAACTTCGTAAACGAAACGCTGCTGCGTGTGGATGTTGCTGATGCCATGGGGCAACAATGTTTATTACATATTTTCAACATTTGGTGTATATTCAAGGAGTAAAATAAACAGCTCCGTCTCTTGGTTAACTTTCAAAAGCGAAAGTATTTCTTCTTTGCTAAACTTTTTGTGATCAATTAATGGATCCTGGTAACTTCTCACTTGCAACGAATGAACTATTAAAATTTTTTGGACTAGAAGATCGTTGCATTTATATCTGTAACTCAAGTTTTATCATTGCTATCTATGAATATCTACAATAAATAACAATGTCATTGACATCATTCCTAGGTTATGGAAAAAATGTTTACCCCACTTTTCATTCAGCTTTGCGTCTTCTCATTCGAACGTCACCACCACTTCATTGTTGAAATTCCGCTGTCTCGCTCTCACTCCACCCGCGAACGTCTTACGGAAGCGCGTGCGCCAGATAAGATCCCATCAACTTGACTGCCAGATAAACCGGAAGAAAAATGCAGCTTGGAAGTTATAGAAGCTAAAGCCTCCGATGCTTATATCTATGGCCATCAATCAGCGCCAGTCCAGCGTAATTTCAACTTTATTCAGCAACGGTATTTCCATCAGTTGTATCTGTGCTAAAATGTCAAGTGCGTAAAAAATTCTAGGAATGATGACAGCAGAGTTAAAGAAAAATCTCCATGGAGAAAGTTATCATGCATTTTTGTTTACAATAACGGCTTCATCTGTTGACGTCATGTAGAGAGAAAGAGTGTGTGTGTGTGTGTGAAAGAGAGAGAGAGAGAAAGAGAGGGAGAGAGCAAATTTGCGTGACCTCGACCCTGACCTCACCACCACATCGCTGCGACTCCAATAGTACGGCGAGTTATCGGTCCAGCGCGCATTTATTTAGCAAAAGGCCTATATGTGTGTCAAGAGCGGCATACATCGGCAACTTGATTATTCATGGAAAGAGAGAGACTGTAGGACGAAGATTCGGCGGCAGTGACGATCGATAAGAATTACCCGGAGCTGCCGCTCGCTCTCCTTGCCAAGGTGAATGGATCAGTTCATGGACGTAAAGCCGTGCGCCGGTTATATTTTTCCTTTCAATATTTTTTTTTCGTCGATGATTTATGAGGTAGGGGGTGTATTTTTTACGCTTGTCTATCGCAAATCCTTTAATCGAGTCTATCACTGAAATTGTTTCAGAAAAGGATCAAAACTCGATCGAGTCGAGATCATCTTTCCGTCACTGATTTGTGCCGTTATTTAAAAGAAGTCTCATTGGAATTCAGCTTTGGCACGGCGGAAAAGATTAATAAAAAAGTTTATTTAAGGGACGAAGAGAGAAGAAAAGTTCTACTTCATCCAGACATGGCATAATGCGCGCAGAAAAAGAAGCTCGGGAAAGTTTTCCAGAGCAAATAGGAAAAAAACAGTACGACAACAGCAACGGCAACTCTTCTTACAGTGTCCGTGTGCAACACTGCACACTTGTAGAGCTAGGCATCTATCCTGCTTTTTGAAAGGTGGATGCACTGTCGTCAAAGTATATACGTGTAATCCAGCAGTAGTGACAGATGCTTTTAGTCTTTTATCCCTAGTTCCAAGAGACCCCGAGAGTTCCTATTGTGAACTTTTAATGCCGTCAGCGTATATCCTTAGGCGTCATGATGTTACTGTTTGCTCGCTCTCTCCTGCTCTATCTATCCAGTGTTTCCAGTTTTTTTCGCTACCTTTTTTAGAAAGTTAGAAAGATATTAACGTTGCAGAGAATCCTTTGTCTGTTTCATTCGTATTAACGCGTTGATGGATTTTCTGATTAGATTGACTTTTCTGAATCATTCTAAAAGAGAACTTTACTTTTTGTGCAATAAACTTTTACAGTACGAATCATATGTGTATGTTCATGCACTAAGGTCACTTAAATATAATCAACGTTTGTAACATTTATTACTATTATTATTATTATATTTTATCGTAAATAGTTTTTAAAGTAGGGTTCTGAATATTGATGAAAAAGTTGCATCTGTATGAGCTAGCTAAAATAAAAAGTACAAGTCATGCTCGAAACATCTATTTAAAGACATTCTCTAGTGAATTAAACTTCATTCTATTACGTAAAAAAAGATAATTAGGAGACTTAAGAGCTGCGAAAGAAAATCTGTTATTGTCAATGCTACGATGACATTTAGAAGCACATTCAATCGAGGCCTCATTTTCGAGAGAAATTGAAGAAATTAAGAACCTTTGTTCTATATCAACTGCAAAAAATAACAGAGCCTATTATCGAGAAGAAAATAATTGAAAAGTAAAAGAAGTAAATAGATGTCATTAAAAAATTTCAAAAGATGAAATAAAATCTATAAAGAGCACACAACCAAGAAAGATAAGGCTTGACCTTCGAAAAGTGCTAGACTCATGGAAAATAAAAATATACAGATTATCCGGAGCATAACCAGCGGTGACCAGGTGCACGAGAGCAACTCAGCTAATGGAACGAATTCTTTTTGTTCATCGTCCAGAACATAAACTATAACTTACACCCGTCTTCGTTTATTTTCTTTAAGAATTTTTACAGATATCCGAAGGCATGAGACTGAATGTTGGGGTAAGCAACATTTCAATTTTCTAACGTAGTGAAATGCTACTATAAGTTTTACGTATTCGATAGAAAAACTTGTTGTAATAAGATCGCCTATCACCATTTCGTACAAATTTTCATGAATGCAGTCGACGTATTTGCCGCGTTACAATCAATCAAAATATAAATAGCTGAATTTATAGTTATAATATCATTCCTGTAAATAATCACATAATAAATAACGTCCTTTTTTGCTTAACATAATGATCCGTAATTAAATCAAGCATCCATTAAGCAATAGCACTATTATCAAATAACGTGTGATGCTCCATCAACGATCGCCAATAATGAACTGAAGTCAACGGGTTCGCGGTATGAAACATGAAACGACACATAAAGTCAGATTTTAGAGTAAATTCGCTATGGTCGATAATGTGATTAACTCATATATATCTGTGGAATTAGAATTAGACTGTTGCGCGTAGCGCGTATAGTTCCCCATCAAAGCCGTGACCGCGTAAAATTACGCAGAGCATATATAACCATGTGTATATAGGTGTGCTAATGAAAGTTTACGATGGACACACAGAGGGAATTTCACATTTACGTTTAATTATACGATTTAATTGCAGAGTGCGCATAGATTAATTAAGCTTTCGGTAAAATCGCGACGCATACGCAAATGAAATAACTTGAATAATCGTTAATATTCATTGGACACATTGTTTGTCAATAGATTTCAATCATTATGTTATGATAGAATAATGTAAACGAGCATATAATTTTTATTTTATCATTTATTCCGTTTTTATAAAAGAATCGTCTATTGTATAAATGATCTACGAATAAACTAAAAAAATATAGGGGAAAAGGTTCGAGCATTCTTTAAATCCTGTTTGCTATGAAAAAATCAAGTCGAACATAAAGATAAGCGTTTTTATGAAGGAAATAGCCCAGACACGCACAAAAAAAACCGGTTTTAAAAAAATTATGAAAGGTTAGTATAATTAAAGGTTAACGAGCGCTTTTTCTGAATGTCAAAAACGACCTGACATGTGTTTGACGTTCAAACCCGATTACTCGCGATGGCCATTCCCATGGTTTGCATTGTGCATTTATTCGTAAAGTCTATGTACGTATAATCCTTTTATATTTCATGGGGTGTAAAATTATAAAATGTAAAACCAGTTAAAAACAGCTAATTATTATAGATAGAATTATCTCAAAGAAATTTTTTAAATCTATATATAATTTTTGAATATTGTAAATAAAAATACTATGCATTTCGCTCTTGGCCGAAATTCGCAGTTATTTGGAAAATCATTTGCCTTGGATTACGCATTACGCATAAATCACTAAAACTAAATTACAAGTGGAAAAATCAAGTTTCACAAGTTAGGAATCTGCCAGACAATGAAGCAGACTATCGTGCATCTTTAACAGAACCCGAATACGTGACTAACATTCTCTTTCCAATGCACAATAATTTGCATAACGTTCCATATTGGAATCGGTGCGTAGCGACGCTTCTTTGATGAGATCCCTGAATACTCCGAAATTATCGCAGCAAGTGAACTTGCCATTATGACCGAGTGCATGACTTCTATGTATAATATAAACTTTGTTACTTATATAGCTAAGTTAACTTCATCACAAAGTTCACAGTTTAATTAACCAAAAAGTGAGATTAGACGCTATAAGTAACTATTAATCACTCCCACCTACACTGATTTTGTTGTTGAAATTGTTTTGCATGTATATGACACAAATACGACTTCGAGAGTATAATCGTCAATCGCGTCGACAACGCTCATAAAAATCAATGTCCGTGCTAACTGTAATGGATGTAGTCGTAAAAACAGAAGACGCTAACAACCGAGAAAAACTTTTTTCATCTAATAAACGTAACTTTCCTTGCACTTCTCCGAGTTGTTATTGTCCCACGAGAGAAAAATGCCAAGCGCTAGATGAAAAATTAAGCCACACGCGCTCGCGCATGGTCGTAGTTCCTGTAGCCACCAACGTGTCACATAAGAAACTAACTGGCAAACGGCCAACTCGTGCTTATTAGCCCACACAAGACGTGTTGTGTTGGTCGAGAGACGTTCCCCTATACACGTGCGTCGTAATATTTAGACGCAAAATATCGATGCGAAACATTTCACTGTGGCCGTCTCGCTCCGAGTCTACCTTTCAAATTACTACTTCGTGATTTGCGACTGCAAGTTATTTCTGCATCTTAACTATACTTCACACTTACTAGGAGAGTATCACATCTTGGGTCATCGATTTACCTGTAATTTTAGGAAATCTCGCGCGTAAAGATATATAAGAAGCCACGTTCAGTCACCCTACAGCCCAGTATTTTCATAGCTACAAGCTATTTTCATCGAACGTGACAAAATATGTAAGGCTTGTAATGACAAAAGCTTGTAATATAAGCAATAGCAAGTTTCAATAGAGTTATCAAATGAAAGCCGAAAACGGAAGCTTTCGATAAAGAAAGTAATGAAAAACGGATCCTGTTAAGAAAATTACGCTCTTTTTAAATCGATCTATAAAATTTTGAATAAAATGCTTTTTATCGAAAAAGTGACTACACAATATGTTAAATTTTATTCTTGTATGTTTGTAAAACGGTTCTAAACAAATATTTTGCACACACATGCACATATATCAACTGGTATACGTGTGGGTTCATCCTCTGCACAGGACACTCAGTGAACAAATCTGTTAAGCTAAAATAGCATATAATCAGGTAGGAGTCAAAGGACACGATGGCAGAGAGATGGCAAATGCAGATAAAGATACAAGAATGTCTTTGAAATCTGTCTGCCTTTGAACATATGTAAACGGGATGTCAGTTACAGGATCGATAGCAAACGTTGGTATATAGCGCAGTAACGCATATAAGGCAACACAATACGAACATCGCACAAAGTAGATTACACGCATCCCTGAATATTAAGATTCTAATCTTTCCGTGTTTTTTTTCCTTGCTCGTAATAGCGCACCGTTTTTACGTCTTCTGTCATTTTCTCTCACATTATTTCTGAGATTCTTTTCTATTCTTCGAAAAAAATATATATAAATTTTACCGCGCACACTGGACTTAAAAGAGGATACTTAAGATAAATCAAGACGAAAAAAGTTCATATCGTTTTATGTTTCCCTTATTTCTTTTTTTCGTATACGTATGTAGTGCTCATTATGCTCTGGTTTTCTATGAAATACGTGTCACGCCATTCCAGTCGTTATTTAAGTTCTCGCGATATATGTATGAAGCTTGCGTTGAACTTGCTACTCGCGAGTTATGCTTTTGATAAATTATTGAGCTAAAAACGAGGAACCTTTGAAATGAATATATTGTCGAAAGAATCCATTTATTTCCGATTCTAATTAAAATCTTGATATTCTGAATTATTTCAAATTTCAATATTGAAAAAAATATTTAATTATTTTGCATTCGTCGTTTGATATTGAAAATATTTTATTACTTAATTTTCTTTACTTGCTGTTTACACGTTAAGATGTTATTTCATTTTCCTTACCTTTAATTATCTCTAATTTTACTTTTATCATTGTATGAAGGCATCTACTATAATTGTAAACTTTCACAAATATTTATTGTCAATTATTCAAGATAAACTTAATTTTCTTAATTATATTGAGATAATTAATTATATCTTGTCGTTTTTTTTCTTTAACTCTACTTTTTAGACGTTGTTACTTCTAAAATGCTTTCGTTATCTCCAAGTTTTTTTAATTATTAACCTTAACAATCTGCTATCTTGTTTTACCTCTTCATCGTTATTTTAGTTTCTTCTTTTTATTAAGTTGACTATCTTGTAAGCTTCTCACGTAACTTCTTAACTGACAGCCTCTATATATCTTCATCCAAAATATTTTCGTTGTAACGTGGAATATCGTGTGTTTCTCATTATTATAATCATCTGGATTTTCAGAAATGGAAACTTTGGTCGAAATTACATCAG